TGTGCATCACTCTTAGCAGTGTCACCAAGATGCTTCCCACCAATTATCTTAATTGGAAACTCCAAGTTGAAGCTTTCCTTGATGGGTTTGATCTCCTAAAATATCCAGATGGATCTTTCCCCGCGCCGCCGACAACGATCTCTACCACTGCAACACCCTCAGTGACGACAACAAATCCTGCTTATCAAACATGGCATCGACAAGATCGCCTCATCTATGGCGCTATCCTCACCACTTTCTCCAATGAAGTGGCCTCTGTAGTGTCTCAGACAAAGACTTCGCATAGTCTTTGGACTCTTCTCAAAAACACATATGCCAAGGCCTCTCGCAGCCATCTCAAGCAACTCAAAGAGCGTCTTCGAATGGCTTCCAAAGGTACCCAATCCATCACAACCTATATGCACTCTCTGAAGCAAACAACAGACCTTCTTGCTTCACTCGGATCTCCTGTTTCGGTTGAAGACATGACTGACCATGTTTTGCATGGTCTCAACGACGGCTACAAAGCAGTCATTGATGGAATAAACGCAAGGGATATCCCAATTAACTTTGATGATCTCCTTGAGAAACTTCTCATCCAAGAACTCTCTATTGTTGCTGCTCAGAGACAAACTCCTGCCCCGGTTACAACTTTGAATGCTCAGGCTCGACCCAACTATAACAACAAGCCTCGGTCTGGTCAATTCCCTGCACCGTCTAATCAACACACCAACAATCACAAACCGTTTCTTGGACGCTGTTAGTGGTGCAATGTCAAAGTACATGTTCTATCTCAGTGCCAACTCTTCAAGCAACAACATCCTGGTATCCTGCCACCGTCTCGAAACTTTATTGCTCACACTGGATCGGCTCAGGCCAACATTGCAGCTGCTGGTCCATCTCATACTGATTTCTTGGTTGATAGTGGAGCAACACATCATGTAACCAACGATCTTGCAAATATGGCACTTCATCATCCGTACACTGGTCCTGACTCGCTGTTCATGGGCAATGGTTCAGGTTTAAACATCTCTCATTCTGGAACACTTTTAATTCATGATTTATCCTTGTCTAATGCTCTGTGTGTTCCTTCCATGAAACAACAAATTATTTCTGTCTCTAAACTTACCAAACAGACTGACTCTGCTGTTGTTTTCCTGCCAAACTCTTTTCATGTAAAGAACTTGCAGACAGGCCAAATAACCCATAAGGGCTCATGTGTGGATGGACTTTATCTCTGGCCCACCTCCCCACCATCTGTCCATACCGTCTGCGCGGAATCCTATGCATCATGGCACCATAGGCTTGGGCACCCCTCATCCTCTATCTTTAAATTTATTCAACAACATTTTTCTTTGGGTTCAAATAAATTCCCACAATCCGATTGTAATTCATGTCAAATTAGTAAGAGTCACAAACTTCCTTTTCATGAATCCACTCTTAAATCTTCTTATCCATTAGAAATAATTTTTTAAGATGTATGGACTTCTCCTATTTTATCTATTGATGGTCTTCGTTACTATTGCATGTTTGTGGATCATTTTACTCGTCATATCTGGCTATATCCAATAAAACACAAATCTGATGTCCAAAATATATTTCCCAAATTTAAATCACTAGTTGAAAATTTTTATCAGCACAAAATCAAAATCTTATACACAGATAATGGTGGTGAATACATTGGACTTCGTCCATTTTTAAGCACTCATGGTATAAGTCACCACACCACCCCACCTCATACACCTGAACACAATGGAATCTCTGAACGCCGGAATCGTCACATTGCCAAAACCGGCCTCTCTCTTCTTCACCATTCGGGCTTGCCCCTCACCTATTGGCCTCACGCCATGACTACTGCAGCCTACCTCATAAATCGTCTCCCAACTCCAATTCTTGGGTACAAGTCACCTTATTCTAAATTACTCCACATTAGCCCGGATTATCATAAATTAAAATGTTTTGGATGTTTGTGTTTTCCCTGGATTAAACCATATGCTAACCATAAACTTGCACCAAAGTCTGCTATGTGTGTTTTTGTAGGTTATTCGGCGGATCAACACGCGTATTTGTGTCTCGATCCCACAACTGGAAGGATTTATACCTCTCGCCATGTGAAGTTCGTGGAATCCAAATTCCCATACAGCTCTCTGGTAGCTCAATCTAATTCACATACAGAACCACAAACAAGCCCACTTCAACTCTCTATTTTACCGCCCCTAGCTCAACCTATTGACAATACCACTCTAAACCCACCGAAAAACTTATCCGCTGCCCATACCACTCCATCTGTCACCCACTTACCAGATTTGGCTCAAACATCAACCTCAAATGAACCCACCAATACTACTCAAACTTCCCCTTCAAACTCCCAACCCTCCCCCCAACCTTCTCCACCACCCATCAACCCAAACCCAAGACAACAAACCAATGCTGGTGGGATCATCACCCGGTCTAAAAACAACATCATCAAACCTCTTACAAAGCTCAACCTACACGTTCGATCCTCCTCTCCCATTGAACCCAACACCATCACTCAGGCTCTTCGTGATCCTGATTGGCGCTCAGCCATGCAAGCCGAATTTGATGCTTTACACCACAACCACACTTGGGATCTTGTAAGTAGGTCCTCTGCTCAAAATTTGGTTGGTTGTAAATGGGTCTTTCGAATCAAACGGAATCCAGATGGATCAATTGATCGTTACAAGGCTCGGTTAGTTGCCAAAGGGTTTCACCAACGCCCCGGTTGTGACTATACGGAAACATTCAGCCCCGTTGTTAAACCAGTGACTATTCGAATCGTTCTAACACTTGCAGTTCGTCAAGGGTGGTCCATCCGTCAGCTTGATGTCAATAATGCATTTCTTCAAGGGACACTCAAAGAGGAAGTCTTTATGGTGCAGCCGCCTGGCTTTGTCAACAAAACCTTCCCTAATCATGTTTGTCGCCTCAAAAAGGCACTTTATGGGCTGAAGCGGGCACCTCGCGCTTGGTATACAGAACTTCGAGTATTTCTGCTCTCCATTGGTTTCGTTAATTCAACTTCAGATGCATCTTTATTCATCCACCAAAAACCAGGTGTTACTTTGTACTTATTAGTATATGTTGATGATATAATTGTCACTCGGAGTTCTTCTGTAGAATTATCCAGCCTCATTGCCACACTTGCTGCTCGCTTCTCGTTGAAAGATCTTGGATGCCTCAACTACTTCTTGGGTGTCGAAGTAATTCCTTTCGCTGTGGGTATGTTTCTTTCACAAAGAAAATATATCACCGATCTACTACATCAATCAGGTATGGCAGATGCGAAACCAGCATCCACTCCGTTGTCTGCAACTATTCCATTACTCAAGGATTCTGGTGATCTTCTGCCTTCCCCAACTGAGTACCGAACGCTAGTTGGAAGTCTTCAATACTTGAGTCTTACACGCCCAGACATCGCCTTCAGCACCAACAAACTTGCACAGTTCATGCAGAACCCAAGAACGGTGCATTGGTCTGCACTCAAAAGAGTGCTCCGCTATCTGGCAGGCTCGTGTGACAAAGGAATCTTCATCTCGGCAACAGCTCCGCTGAACTTTCATGCATATTCGGACGCAGACTGGGCTGGTGACAAAGATGATTATGTTTCAACCACTGGCTACTTGTTATATCTTGGCAGCACTCCCATCTCTTGGAGCTCCCACAAACAACGTTCGGTTGCTCGATCATCCACAGAAGCAGAGTATAAAGCCTTGGCTGACACAGCCAGTGAACTACTATGGGTCCTTTCCTTATTTAGGGAACTTGGTCACACTCCAACCGCTAATCCGGTAATATATTGTGACAATCTCGGTGCCACACATCTAAGTGCTAATCCTGTATTCCACTCTCGAATGAAACATATAGCCTTAGCCTATCACTTTGTCCGTGAAAACGTTCAACATGGCAAGTTTCGTGTATCTTTTGTCTCTACTGATGATCAACTTGCTGATATTCTAACAAAGCCTCTGCTTCGCCCACGGTTCGAGTTTTTACTGTCCAAGTTGCATCTCTCTTACAAATTATCCAACTTGCGGGAGGATATCAATAATAATAATTAGATTTAAAATTCCTTTAATTATGCCGATTTACAAATCTGTTATTTACCTAGTTTGTAGTCAAAAGTTAATAGCTACATTAGTGGAAAATCAATAGGAGATTTGTTACCTTGATTTGTTCCAAATTAGGTTTATCAAACTTGTATATATACACTACTGTAAACTAATGAAATCACTCACTTTTCTATAATCCCGTGTTAAAATATGATAGGTTTAGAGCTCAAAATTTCATTACAATAATTTTAGAACACTTTGGTAGGACCTTAGATTTATTCATCAAAATTATTTCTTTTATACATGATGCGAATGTTTGACTTTAAAAAGGAACTTATGGCAACCGTACTAGTCTATTTGCATTGGGGATTAGGTGGTCTTGGAGAAAGAGAGACTCGGCATGCATATTTCATGAACCTATTTCCCAGTATCGCCTTACATAGGCCGAGCACTTGCTCCAAGACAATATATTTTCACAATTGGTTTAGTAACTACCATCATGGACGTGCTCTCTCAAAGGACTTTGAGTTGATTTATAAATTATCAGAAATGATCTTATGAAATGAAGCTCTCTCAAAAGACTTTGGCTACAAGAAATGATTAGAAAAATGGTCTAAAGTAATCATAGTATAAATAAAAGATTAATAGTTATTGTAATTGAGTGAGATGATTAATTAAATTATAGCTATAATTAATTATTAGTCGGCTATTTGATTGGTGAAAATTGAACAAAATTAGTTATAAAATTAAAATGAAGAGATACATGTCTATATTGTGAAAATTATAATAAATAAATAAAAAAGGACAAAGTGTAAAATATACAAATGAGGGAGGTGACAAGAAAGTGAAAAGGGTGCAGAGCATTGAAAGGCATCGTGTGTATAGCAAGCATACATTGGTGGTCTCATAAACAAATACAATAAAATAATAATCATCTTTGTGTTTGTATGTATGATATGGTGTGAGGGAACTTTCGATGCTTCTGGTGAAGGCTGGGCAAGAGTGCATATTGTGTAGTGTAGTTATTATTAAAGACCCACACCGATAGTTTACAAAGCAGACTAGTGTTTATAAAGCGCAGACACAGCTCTGTTCAGTGTCCCTTCGGGGACATCCGATAAAATTGGAACGATACAGAGAAGATTAGCATGGCCCCTGCGCAAGGATGACACGCACAAATCGAGAAATGGTCCAAATTTTTTTTTGATTTGATTTCCTGTTATTAATTAGGGTTTTGGCTTCGTCAATTTTTTTTTGATTTGGATTTCTCTGTTAGGGTTTTGGCTTCGTCAATTTTTTTTTGATTTGGATTTCTCTGTTAGGGTTTTGGCTTATGCTTCTCGTGGCAACAGGTTTGTTTGCATTTTTCTTTCTTTGATTATCAGTTTTTCATCGTTCTCCAACTTTTCTTAATCGTGTTTGAATTTTGCCTCATCATATTAACTTTTCTTATGTAGATTTTTCATCGTGTTTGAATTTTGCCTCATCATATTAACGTTTCTTATGTAGATTTTTCATCGTGTTTGAATTTTGCCTCATCATATTGATACTGAAATCCAGCACTCACCTATATAAAATGGATTCAATTTTGCTCTACTACTTTGCCAACTGAGCTGTTCAATTTGTAGCTTAGTATGTGCATCCTTTTAATTGTGAAATTAGGGGTTACTGGATCTTATACACTATATGTGTTGTAGCCAAGTATTGGGATTTGTGGAAGTTTGCTTTTGAAAATTTTGAGGATTGAGTTGATTAAGATATTACCAAATTGCTGTTTCAAACCTCCCTCCCTTTCTTGTTCAAAATCACAGCATTGATCTTGGGGAGTGGAGATGGCTCTTTTACACTGCCTTATGAATCAATATTACATCAGTTTGTTCTTAATTCTTATTCTTATGGCAACAATCTTCTTGATATATTTGTGATCTTCCGACTATATGCCGAATGTGGCACTCATCTCTTTCTAAGACCTCATTTGAGATATTATTTTCCCTCAAAATTCAACCTTCTCTCCAAATAAGAATCATGTCTAACCAAGGATGCATCTCTTATATTGCCTACATACATCTCAGGTACATTCATTATATTATTACTTAACTTAGCAAATTGTGAATATATTATTTCCCACTTTGCTTCTTATACTTTAACTTGTCTATATCATGTCCAGTTTTCATTTTTAATGCTTCACCCATGGACTTGCTTTTCTCAAACTATTAGTATTATACCATTCCGATACACTTCATCCAAATCCCGTTTGTAACTTGTTTGTTGTTTGCTTTTTTACTATGACGAGCTTTGCATCCTTCTTGCCATATTTATCTGATTTTAAGGCTTCTCAGACGCAGACTATTGTTTGATAAGTTATTGTGTCTGCTTTTGAATTTTTCAATCAAGTTTTGAGTTGTAAACTATCTTGTATTAGGAAAGAGTATTGGTTTTTAACTAGCTCTCTCTTCAATACTCTAACCTTTCTTTTCTTCTCTTTTTATAGATAAACTTGCTTTTGACAATGCTGGTTTTTCTTAGATTCTCTGCCTATTTCGCAATACTGCATTCATTGTTTTGATATTCATATTTACACTCTTTTAGCCCACTACATACAAATTGTCATGTCTATGGTTAGGGTCCTCTAGCTCACTGCATACAAATTGCGATGTCTATCATTAAGCTCACTACATACAAATTCTTATGTCTATCATTAAGGTCCTTTAGCTCACTACATACAAATTGTTATGTCTAAGATTTAGGTCCATAGAAATTTGTCATATGCTTGATTTTCTCAACTTTTCTACTCTATTCCTATTTGCACCCATCTGTGGCAAGATATCTTTTTGAGCAGCAGAGTCATTATATTGTATATTCATTCACAATAACTCCGTGCAAGTTATTAGTTCCTCCTCTCCAAACCATACTGGCTGAATTGACCGATCTGTGCAGTTTTGTGCCTTTTCTTTTTCTTCTTATTGTCACTGGATTTTGTTACTGATATCTACAACTTATATTACTATAAAATAGTTCTACTAAAGACTTTTCTCTTTTGTATCCAATGCTGAAATGCTTAAAATAGGAGCTGGAAAATAACTCTAAAAAAAGAACACTGTTGACTTTTCTCCACAATAATTTATTGTATATTAGTCGGGCATGGGTTGTGGCACTAGAAAAAGAAAAGTTGGGCACAGTTTTGACGCAATACAAACAGCAGGTAGTGAATCTTACCATGTACACCGTTTCATTTTAAGCTTCATTTTTCTCAAAATGGTGCCAAATATTCAGATTTTATTATTTTGATATGATTTCACCAATTTTTACTGCTTAGAAACATACAAATTCATATAACTTGGCTTAAGTTGATGTTAACTTGCTGCAGGAGTTTGGTTGATGAACATAACCGTTTGAAATCAAAGCTGGGTTGCACATCATTCAAACTACACTAAGCTATGGAGAAGTTGAAATACATGTTAATTGTAGTTATTATTGATTTTGTCGGTACAACTGTTTGTTGAAACTGTTAATAAGTGGGCATAAATAGCAACCTAAAAAGTCAAAAACTCGAATTGGTAACCGGTTAACACAAATGGTTAATTGGTTACCATTGCTATACATAAACAAAAACATCACAAATGTCTTTGATTGGTTATACACAAAATTTCATCAACATAGAATAATCAATGTATTAATATTTATCTGACATTGTTAAAAAATTTGAACTTATTCCGGTTTAAAGACATTTTATATTGGTAATCCATGTAAGGAGAAAAAGTTAATTTACGTAACCCTTTGTAAATTGTCAAATAGAAGGTATAGTAGTAAAGGGCAATCGGTTGACATAATATGTAAATCGGTTACACCTGGAACAATTAGTTATAAATTGAGACAATGAGTTAGTGCAATCGGTTGATATTTGTTGCACCTGAGAGTTCAGTTTTATTTTTTGTTTGATAATTGTTTCACATCATGTAATTTGGTGTCCCGTGAACAAAGGTAGAGGTTTAGAATTTTGGTGGAAGAGAGTCTCAAATTTTCAAGAATTCAATATTTCAAAAGGGTGAAAACAATGACAATATGGTTGTTGGATCAAACAACTCTAGAGGAGGCAATGCTAGAGGTAGAATGATGGTTGACAAGAGTAGTGTGTAGTGCTATAATTGTCAAAAGTTTGATCATTTTGCAAGAGAGTTCAATGCCAACAAGAAAGAACCTCAAGAAGATGAAGATAGAGTTGTTAGACAAGAGTTTGATGATGAGAACTCACTATTGGTCATGATGACGCGGGGAGAATGGAGTAGTAACAATTTGAAAAGTAAAGTGTAACCAAAGTGTAATCGGTTGCACAATTATGCTAACTGGTTACATGCTGAAGAAAATGAAATGATGACTTTGAAAGAAGCAGTGCAGCGATAAAGGGTGTTTGGACCCCGGATGTTCAACGCATATGACGGAGGAAAAAGATTGGTTTGTTACAATTAATTGTGTCATGAAGAATAAAGTGAAGTTTGTAGAGGATACCACTTTAGCGACCGAAAGGATCAATGATGTATTGATCGAGAGAAGCGGTGATTGACATTCTTTGATTTTTTTTTTGTTATGTAGCCTAGTGACTAGAGTTCATCCTTTAATGATAAACAAACGGGACGTTGCGGGTCCGAACTCGCGATCCTGCACCTGATATCCCTGTATAATTTTTAACTCAGTTGATTTAATGAGACAAAATTATTTGATTTAACAAGTAAGACTTCATGCTTTAATATAAGTATTTTAAGTCTTGACTATCATGAGTGACATTACAATTTTCTCCAAATCAAAATAATTTCAACACTACAGTATTAAAAAATATTTTAAGTCTTTTCCAATATGAGTGAGATTACTATTTTCTCCTAATCAAAATAATTTCAATACCACAATACTCTTGATATGTTAATTTTTTGAGACAATATGTATTTCTCTATTTTTCTTTAAAGTTGTGTTCATAGTTTTAACATATATAATCTGTGATCAAAATCAATAATTTTTTGGGACACAATATATTTTTCTCTATTTTTCTTTGAAGCTAGGTTTTCGTCGAACTCTAACATATATAATTTGTGATCAAAATCAATAAGCTTTTCTGAGTTATGCAATTAAATAGTTTTCTTGTTTTCATATACAAAACGGTCGATATTCAATGTTTCATCAATATAAAATTGAATGTAATTTCTTTTTTGCTAGAAGCGTTGATTTCATCTTCACGAGTATTGAGGAACAAATATTGTCATCTCTCTAATTTTATCTCTTAAATTTATGTCATTTACTTTTTACTATTTATTTCTTTCTGCTATTTTTTTGTCTCTTCAATACTAACACAAGTTGTAGTTTTAAGAAAAAAAAAAAAAATTAATCATAAATTTTAAATACCACAATTCAAACCCCCCACCCTCTCCTTTATGCTTGGAGTCACTTGTTCAACTCATACCACTGATGTTGGAATTTTTAGGTTATAAAAACACAATGCTGTAAATTACAAATGTTAGTAAAGATAAAAATAATATGCTGTAAATTAGAAAGAGTAAAAGATACTTGTTAGAACTACTTGAAGTTGAGAATGTCATATTGTTGTTTTGGTCAGATAACTTTAGGCAATAATGCCTCTCTGACCTTGGTTTCCTTGAATTATCTGTATCGTAGATGTGGCCGAAATGTTAATTGAGTAAACTAGTTAGTTTCCAATTCTAAGAATGTTTAGACATTGATATGAACCATAAGTCTTATAACGTCGAAAAATTATTGAGAGGCCTCATACACTATATCATGAATTCATATGTCTAATAGTTGTAAAAAAATACGTTTTCATTATCAATGGGTGTCTCGGATAGATAAATCAGCTTACCTATAGAAGTAATAAGAAGAAGCACACTTATTGGCATTCTCACAGTTATTTGGAGGTCCATTAGGTATTTTTTGGCCAAACCTCATCGTTGAATATGGTGATGGACTATCCATGATACTAAGGAACTTTCCTGACCTCATGTGCATACATCAAACATAAGTTTGACACGGTGAATGTAATTTTTTAGCGGTATGAGTTCTATTGTCTTAATGTGTGTGCCAAATTTTTCTAGAATTTTAAAAGTTAGTTGAATGATCGACTAATATCTCTCAACCATAATTCCTTTATCTTAAATATAGTGTCACTACTACATATAACATTTATTTATGACGAAGCTTTCACCTCGAACAATAGAAAACCGATGAAATAGTTTCTGGGAGCGCCATGTTTTATTTTAAATAATAATAACAATAATAATAATAATCAACCTTTTCTCTCGGTTTTTAAAAAACCGAGGAAATATGACTATAAGATAGCTCGCTTTGAATTCTTGTCACTGAATTTTAATTAGTATTTCTCTTTTGGCGCCTTTCCAGTTTCCCTTTTTTCTTTATTATTTTTTTTCATTTTTTATCAGTATTAACCTTAATTACTTGGTCCAACTAAGAGGTAATACATTTTACATCAATATTTTCAATAGCTCATTTAATTTTTTTATTTTATATATTCAATTCCTTCGATTTTTACGAAAAACAACGTGATATCTCTTAAATGAATTCACAGAATATGGCACTATTGTATTTTTTTAT